CGTCAGAAAGCCTCGGCTGAACCCAGCGTTCCTCTAACCACGAGAACCGACCCTGCTCGCGGCTAGGACACAGATCGCTCCTACTCACGTTGGGGACGAAGCCGGGCTCCACCCGCTTCTCGCAGACATCGCTCCAGACTACGCTGGACAAGTACGTCGAGGCCTGAACGTCAGCCAGGCAGGAAAAGCGATGCTCAGGGTTCACCGTCAGCAGCTGGGGACAGAAAGGCATTCCCGTCAGGGGAGAAAGAAAAGGAGCCCAGCATCATCCTGCCTTTCGGATGCACACAGATAGTTCAGCCACACAGCAACCTTTCTGTCGTGGGAAATACGCGACAGACTACAGAAAAAGAACCATGTTAGAAAAATGTTCTGGAGGTTGTGAAACGGCCAAAAACTCGGTACCGTGAGCACTCAGACCAGCGCGGGTTCGCTCCTCCCGTGCCTATCTACACCGCACGACCCGACGCACTCCTCCCCATGCCAGGGACAGCCCTTGCTCCCTTGTAAAGGCTCATCGTTTTGGTTTCAACCTCCACATGTCCTATTTTCATACCACTTCTGTGACACCAGGGGATACTACTCCGTTTATCACACACATGGATTACTAAGCACAGAGAAAAAATAAATAATCGCTTGATCCACTGAGACACCAGACTGAGGACAGACCTGATTTTTCAAAGAATTCAGCACCGTGTACCATGCTGTACTTGAGTTACAGCTTCCAGGGCTGCTGGAGGTATGCCTGACATGGAGGTACGCCTGACGTGGAGGTACACCTGACGTGGAGGTATGCCTGACGTGGAGGTATGCCTGACGTGGAGGTAGGTCTGACGTGGAGGTATGCCTGATGTGGAGGTAGGTCTGACGTAGAGGTATGCCTGACGTGGAGGTATGCCTGACACGGGATCTGGTTAGAGCTTCCAGAAAATTCTGCACCTAGTCTCTCATCTGAAAATCTTCACCAAAGCTTGCTTGATGCCACCTTTGCAGCACATACTTGGAGCCCCGTAAACGTCCCTCCGCTCCCAAGCGCGGGATGCTTGTGGCAGGTGAGTCGTGCCCACCCTCGCCCTCTCCAGGAGCTGGCCCCTCTGCCTGCTCATGCCGTTGCCACTGGCACCGGAGCCGCACCCCACCTCTGGACCAGTTCTTCCCATTTTTCCAGGGCACTTAGAATTTGAGTCCTGACCTCCAGGTGCCCCAGCTCGGTTTTGGGCATCCGCAAACTGAGTGCGTAAGGTCTCCCAACCGATAGACACCTACAGTAGGACCTCTGATTTGAGTCCTGACCTCCAGGTGCCCCAGCTCAGTTTTGGGCATCCACAAACTGAGTGCATAAGGTCTCCCAACCGATAGACACCTATAGTAGGACCTCTACAAAATGCTCATCTAGGACTATTTGGTAACTACGCAAGCAGCAGGTAATGGTGTCCGTACCTACAGCCCACCAGGCGCCCAAGCACGGGGATGCCTGTGAAGGGCATGGGGTAAAAGACCACCTCGACCAGGAACTGCCACCTGGGGGAACTTTTCAGGCACTTTTTCA